CGTTTTTTGAATGGCGCGTAACGGGCTTTATAAAAGTGAAAGGTGCATTCTGCAACATTGTAATTTAGTAATAAACATTTTAAGCATGCCCTGACACCTTTGAAACACCGTTCTAAACCATTTAAACTGTTCCCAGGCTGACTTTTTGCGGATTGTTTGAAGGCGCGCGTATTTTGACAATTTTGATACTTCACTTTTTCTGGCAGGCATATGTGGTAAGTTCTTTTCAGCACTGGTTTTTTAAATGCCCGTCCTGATTATACTATTCCTATTGAAAAAAAAAACATGATGAAAATAGAAAGAGAATAGGAAAGATTTTCGTTTAAAATTTTCCAATTCGAAAGCTGAAATCGCATCGTAAACATGGCTGCTACAAAATAAAAATTGCTGACGTAAATTCGTCCAGCTCGAATTTCTTTTTTGCTTTTCAAAATTTAAAAATTGCGTTCATGGTGTTCATCAAACACCTCTGCTTTGGGGACTGGAAACATTGAGAACATGAAAAGATCGACATTTTTTGAACCTTTTGAATGCTGACAATAAGCTAGCGGCGAATAAAGTCTTTATATCAATCAGCATGAGTCACCCGACATTTAAAAAAATTACTGGCCTTTAATCTCGATGGCTTTTTCAAATGGGTCCAACGCCAAACTTGACTATTCGAACGCAAATCAATTACCTGTAAATTCTAGCAGTGCCCTGAAATTGCTTCAAATTAATATCATACTTTCCAATCAAATGAGCTTCGCGGAATGAAGATCAAGCTGCTTTGGGACTGGGTATTCAGTACTGTCCTCCATCAATATATTATTGATATCCCTTATATAAGAGACGAAAATGCCACGTGTAACATTTTGTAAAGAGTTCCTTTGAGCAAGTGAAAAAGTCATTTGGCCACACGATCAATACCATATGAAGGGTTTGTGTCGCGGAAAAACTCGAGGAAGCGGATGATTATTAGGCAGCAACACTTGTTGACTTCTGACGATCAAGGACCCACTTCTCGGTTGGCATTTGCTAGAACACTTATGAGACCGCAAATGAGGGAAAAATACAAGCTGAAAAGAAACTAACTTGTTTTTCTCTTAATGGACCAACGAATTAGTCACTCAATAACTTCAATAAGACGGTGGAAAAGAAAGGGGTCACGTGTGGAACAATCAACAGAAAGGATGTTTCGAGGGGGTTTTCAGGATCACTCTGCAGCTCACATTTTAATTTTCTATGCTTTTTCTTCTGATGGGATTTTGGAGGCATCATAATTCATGTTTCTGATGTTTTTGAAGTGCTCTCAGCATCATCGGAACCATTGTATTTTACATGCTTATCGACGTCCTTGAAAGAGGATCAATGCTGCAAATAAGTACTGGTTTTGTGTACCTCAGCCTACTACGTGAAGATTTGAAGCAATAAACAGTTTTTTTCATGCATCGCATATGTTAAAATTCATACAAGGAAAGTACGTCTCCTTTTTCGAGATCTAGATAATTTTGGATAATAGCTTTATCCTCTGACATTTCCATGGAGAAGAACTAAAGAAAAATCATACTTCCAGCTTTTCAAGACAATAATTTGTTGTTGCCACGAGTGCATTCATTTCATTATATAATATGCTTCAGACTTTTGAAGCAAAAAAAGATTCGCTGACGATTCTCTGAAAGGTCGGCAAGTTTTGGAATCTCCCTCGACATCAACCACCCAACTTGAGGGTTTATTAACCTACAAAGAAACTCTTCACTCCAGAAGAGAACCATATAACTTGCATTTTGGTGGGTGAATGTGATGGTGCAATGAAAGTTCTTTTATCTCCTCCAAATAATGCTGCTGCTGGTCCAGTCTATTTTCTCAACGTCATTTATTCGCTCTCGTGCAGAATTGCCGTGCTATGAATCGATCATAATAATGTGGTGCACGCTTACAATGAAGTCGGTAATTTCCATTCGATTACTCCCACTGATTCGGTGGAATGAGCTGAATTCATAATTTTTCAAGACGAGTTGAAATGCGGAGGAGACTTTTAGTGTTACCATCAATCATCGTGCGAAAAAATTACATGGTTTCAGCCATCCGTAAATGCTGTTCCTATAAGTTTTCATTCGGTAAAAAGCGTTTCTTGGGGCGAAATAATTTTTGAAGAAGAAAACTTTAGTTTAGGCCAAGAATTTCAGTTTGAATAAGAGTCAAAATTTCGCAGTATGATGGGTAATACTCGAATTCTGAATGGCAAACTATATCTGTTATGAGTTTTTTCCCAGTTTGACGGTATTAAATACAGTCAACCCATGACAGGACGACCCTTGCTAAAGTGTCATCGTGGTAAACGGTCGAAGTTAAATCTACTCTGGGCACAGTAGCCTATAGACCTAGAACATCTCAAAGAGATGCGATCTGCCGAAATTTTTGCAAAAGAGGCCCTCTTGGACATTAGGTTTGTCTTCATCATGATACTCGGATGCATATCAGTCAAGGTTCTAGTTGAAATCTTTCATTTTGCAGGAACAAACGAAATGTTTTCTCTTAGGCTTGCTTCAACAGATATGCAGCATTTATTTACGGTATTTTGATAAGTTTCATAGTAGTCAGTTAATTTTTGAAAAAGAATCATGATTATGGTAAATTTGTTAATATTTTCCAAAGTACAGTACCTTCATTTTGCTGTGTATTGCATCGAAAGGAAAACTGACCAAAATTAAATATTGAAAAATGGCTTTCGCATCTGTATACCAGTCTAATTGGATACAAACCAAGTAAATTTAATCTTTTGATGAGGTAACCTTATATAGGTAAAGAAGAAAGTTGTCAATTTTTTGTATCAAGCTTTCCTTTCCATCCAATAAATTTTTCAAACTGCAGAACACAGCAATGTTCAAATATTGGTACACTACATTGAAACAATTGAAATTTCGCATTTGTTCTTTAAAATATGATTGATTCAATTAATCATAATTATCGCAATATTGCCACTGCTGGACTTATCACTTGTTTGAAAAATTTTATTCGTACGCGATTTCAGGAATGGAACGAAAAACGTTCCTGAACCAATGCTGACATCATATTGCTCTTTGGCTGTTTGAAAATGCGAAATATTAATAATTTTGTGCTCAAATACAGTGAAAGAGAATCACGACTATACATGGAGCGTGTGCAGCAGTTAATTAGGTCATGTTTCAGCACAGAAATACTTTTGCATGGTCATTCCAAACAGGTTTCTGTCGCGGAATTTTCTTTGCAAGACAGAAGCACCATGGGCCTGATCAAGGTGATGAGGATGTGAGGTACAGTACAGTACTTGCACCCTCTGAGACTCATTTGCTGAAGATATGAGCTTATAAAGCAAAGGAAACAACAAAATGTGAGGTCCATGCAGGATCCATCTTCACAGTTTCACAGGCCAGAGGTTCGCACAATGGTTCCACAATCCTTTTTTTTCAGGCAAGGACGAGGCATAAGCGGATAGAAGAGATCACGATGCTCTCCTTCGTACATTTTTTCCGCCATTTTAATTTTTGCTATTCTGCACTTTTTTAACATCAGTATGAAGCCGGTCGGCTCATTTTTTTTTACAAAGCTCTCTTTTTTCCTGTTCTTTTCTTGCTTTTTATATGGAGGTCAATTGATGGCTTCTGTGGGAAGAAGGCCAACAGAGGCGAAAGAGATACACGTACTGTACTGTGCTCTGTACGTGTTCTCTATCTGTTCCTCCTTAACATTTGAAAAGAGTCGTGGTGGCCTTTAAAGCGTTTATTCTATGCTGTTCAGAGTTACGAGAAGGATGACTCACGACCTGAATGAAGAGCACGTGGCTTCTTTTCCCTGAAAGAATATAAAGCAATGAAAGACGACAAAAGCGGAAATCAAAACCAAAGAACTGATCAACCCATTTTCAACGACTGTATGTGTGCAGTTGTGCACCAAACTGCTAAAGAGTATCCTATCCAGTCCCAATGCGGATAGATTTATAAAATCGCACTTGTATATTGATGCATTGCATTTTAAATCTTCCCAAGTGTCACATTTTCATATCGTGTTCTCTTTATCATGTTCGACAATAAAATGCACTGGTAAAATCAAGTACCCACTACAGTATTACTCGTATAAGTCGACCCAATGAGATTCAGCGCCGACCGAAATAACATAGACGTACGTAGTCGCTAATTCCAGCTGTTACAATATATTCAGAATGATTAAATTCTGCCCCTTTCATGAAAAAGGTGGGAATATTTTTTATTATGCCTAATATATTATTGCATTAATATTTTGTAATGATCATCAATAGAAAATAAATCAAGAAAATCAGGCGCGAAAAAATTTGTCATGCTTTCTGTTCAGGGTTTCATAAAATGATTGTCTTACTTATGTGCATCTGAACCCTTAGGCAGACGCCTTTTTGTTGTAAAATATCGTTCTTTCTTCGCATGCACATTCTGGTTGCGTTAAAATTTATCAAATGAAATATGATTTCGAATTCCACAGGACAATACATTTAGCAAAAATATTTGGTCTTCGCTGCGAAAGAGGTAAATGACGCATTTTGGATACAATTTTCAATGAATTAGAGCAATGTTTCCTAATTGCCTGAGAACTTCTGTAAAATATCATCTCACGAAATTCTCATCAGCTAGAATTGCTAGATGATACAAAGAAAAGGCGATTCATTCTGGTATCAACGGACTGGGATTTTTGGCGTGTGTATTAGGAAACACCCATTATTTATGAATAAACTATTCTTAATCGTTTAAAATTCTGTAAATAAATGAATAAAACATTCGAGGAAAGGTTTCTATGGCTCCGAGTGATACAGACTGACATTGCTGAGCGACGCCTCACCTCGTGCTAAAAAATTACGAGTTTTTTTTGCATCTTCAAGAATGCTTGGATATTTTGCTGTTGTGGGAATATAAGAATCATCCAAAGCACAAAATACTGTACCCTTCTATATAGCCCACAGGACGTGTCTGCTTCATTCTTACACCCTTTTCTTCACATATTTTTGTTTTCAGAAAATGTTCGGAGCAGCACTACACATCACATCAGCTGTCCTCCTGCTGGTGATCGTCACTGTCTGCACGCCGACGATCTTCGCAGATCCGCGGACGACCAACGAAGAGGATTTCGGCATGACCGCTTACGACGACCCAGCAGCATCAGCACCATTATTGCCACAAAACGTCGTCCCACACGTCATGGCTGCCGACAAAGCAGCGAAACAATTGCTGGGCCCGTTTTCCGTGCTTCGGGCTTCCGGGCGCCTCAACAAGCGCGAAACCCAGTACCTGAATGACCTGTCCCGTCGTCTGCGCGACATGTTCATCGAATACAAGAAAAGACAAAACGCGTTCCAGTTCGGACTCGGGAAACGAGCCCAGTTCAGCTTCGGTCTCGGGAAACGCGGCAGCATAAGCAGTAGCATTGATCGGGACGTGGTTACGTTGGACGCACCCGCTGCTGCTGCAGACAGAAATAACGAAGAAGCTGAGATCGGAAACAATGCTGATGATGATGATGATGATCGCATCATCGAAGACGCTGAGATGAATGGAGGAACAGGAGAAGAGAGCAAGAGGACGCAGCCATTTGCTTTCGGGCTGGGCAAGAGAGCCGGCAGCAGAAGTGGCAGTAAAATGTTCGCTTTCGGACTGGGCAAAAGGACTTTCCGCTTGTTGGGCAAACGACCGCTGTCGCAGAAGCAGTTCTCTTTCGGCCTGGGGAAACGAGCTCCACGGGAACCATTTGCGTATGTTTATATTACTTTTTCTTCCAGGCACATGATCGAGGTTGACATCAATGAAATATAAATGCATACGGTAGATTTATGGATTTGTGCCGGAGTTTATAGTGAGACTGATTGTGTGGGCTTCGGTTCGAGCTGGCTGAATCACATTTTTTTTTAGGTTTTCCTTGATGCATATACCCGCAGCAAGAAATTGAGTTCTACATTTGCACCTTATCCCGTGCATCTTTCTGCTGGGGGAGCAAAATGCTGTTCATGCATTACATTTTTGAAATTTAACTCATTTGAGTTATTTTATCACAGGAATTTCCTAAAAGCACCGAAGAGGATTTGGAATTTGTTTAATGTTCGTGATAAAGTTGAGCATGGATATCTTTGATTTCTGTAAGCCTCAAAGAAATTGATTGTCTCGAATTTAAGATTTGGATTTGGAAGAATCATCGACCATTATCATATGTGAGCCATTGCAATACGTTTTGAGCTTGAAATAATTTCCATATACAGTACTGTAGTCATAATTTTTTTCAAAAACACCAATTAGCTCTTGCTGTTTTTTTTATTTGGCGAACCCAAAGTAAGGAAAATAGCTAGAATCTTCTTGAACGGAATAATTAAATATGGCAAACTATACAGTACTTGAAAGGGCAATTATCCTCGGCCTGGAGGAAAAATTACGAGGATTCATCATGCCCAATTATTTTCCTCCACGGCACTTTTTGAAACGAACGAAAAAACAGAGAGCCTTTACAGGTAATAACCATAGGAATATTTTTTGTAAAAATATACGAGGTGATTCAAGCATGAAGGACTGCAAATGGTTTGATATACAGTACAAAGAACAATACATTTTTAAAATGTTGTTGATGGTCTCATCTATTCCATTCATTCATTCCCTCTCCATACGTTTTATTGTTCTAACCTTAAATTAATTCCTTTCATTACCCCTGGTCTGGCCACCTTCAAGAGACATACGGTAATCTAAATTGCTCCAATATGTTTTGTTCAGAAGCGCGATTCCCCAATAGAGGTCTGCCATTATTCCTCTGTATCTTTGCTAAATGTTACATTTTGCGTCACTCCCAGACGTACATCTGGAACCCGGGCAATACTGTACTATCGATAAGCAGGCTAATCTCATCAAGGGAGAAAAAGGTCTGGAGTTATCACTGAGAAAGCCCTGAGATGATGTGAAGCCCACAAATATCTACAGAAATCATTTGCTCTTTCAAATTAAAATCTTTTTTCAAACACACTGTTAATGATACTCGGGCAACCGAACGTTTTTGAACTTTGAATCTATCATATCAGATGGGGTTTGAGTATCGTGCGACAGGACCGAACAAAGCCGCAGTTTCTCTGACATTCAAAACCGATAAAAATTTCAAGTAAGATGAAAGGGGAGTAATTCGACTTTGAAATCAGTTTTGTCAATCAGTACAATTGGCAAATTCATCAGTGTACACTCATGTGCAGTGCTTAATTTACGAACACTTGCGTCATGGGTGAAAAAGAATCGAAAAACAATAAAAAAAATCGGAACTCGAATGAGCGAAGCAAATTTCATAATTCTTTGATGCATAGATTCTTCCAAGTTCCTCGTCAAAAAAATATTCCATTACCAATTCGTTTTTCTCCAAAAAATATGAAAGATTAGTTCATTTACCAATAAATGCCCTTGGTCATGTTCGGTATCCTCTTTACTATATTGAAAAAAAAAATATATATATATAGAAAAGATCGAATGACGATAATGCGGGCATAAAACCTGAGAGTTCTATCGACGTCCTGGAATGTATATTAATGTTACTCATGTGCTAGCCAGATTCTCAAGTGCTGAAAACAATAATGCAATTGTGTCACTTTATTGAACTGCGTTTTTAGTGGCTATTGGATTGTGTTCCATTAATCAATTATGTTTGATGAGAATTTTACGAACAAAATAAAAAAATCATGTCCGGATGTGCCGGAGACTTCGGACGGAAATTTACGAGAACGTGCAGGAAATTTCCTCCTGTGTAAACCTAAATGCAACAAATGCTACGCTAAAAATCCTCAGATTATCCATTTTTAAATTGCAGAAGAGTGTTTGACGTTCGTCTCTGTGACGGAAAAGTCACGCACGAAACAAGAAACGTGATTTCCGTACCAAATGGCAGAATAATCTAACTTGAAACGCCAATATTAAAATACGCTCAAAGAAACTTGATTTCAGTCGCGGAAATCTTACTTGAAAGATATTTTCATAAATAATCTCGATTCTTCTCTGATTGCAGAATGATTGCAGCATTTTCTGGCGCATTAGTATCCATTCTCTTCTAAATTAGGCTACTATGTAAACAAAAAGTACGTCATGCCTCAATGACATTTGCATTATAGGTTTTTTCATACGTTTTTCGTTGTGAAATATCTGGGACACGTCTTCAGCTGAGCTACACTACAGTATTACGTTTTTTGAGCAAAAACGGGTTCCCAAATGTATAACTTATTCGGAAAGTTAAGGCATCTTCGGCCGGGTACCTAAGGAGATTTTCGCCAGAAAAAGCAATACCGTAATAAAAATATGAAATTGACGACACGCCAAATTTTTTCTCATCGTCGATACATGATTTTCCCTTATAACGAAGGGTACTTAATCGAAAATATGCTGCAATTCTTTCAAACCTAGATAAAATATCGATTGATAAATACAAAATCAAAGCCATGATGACGAGACTGACAACCGACAAATCGAGTAAATTTCAAGAAGTGTGAAGCCAGCCTGATTTATTTTTGGATTATGGAGATAAAATTGTTAACATAAGCTGTTACGAACGCGTGGTCGTGATTTATAAATTTAAAAAATGAATCCCGAAAATTCAGACGTCATGAAAAATGCAATCAAGCACTGCGCCGGGAAAATTCTGTAAAATTTCCAAACGAAAAAAGTGTTCTACTCTAATATTTTTGACGATATTGCGCGTTATTTAAATTTAATAAATGAATGAGAGCTTCCGAAAATTTTTTTTTAAAAATGTCCTTTCGCGATTTTCTGGATCCGCAGATTCGGCCTGGGCAAACGTCAAAGGCAGAACGCGTTTCAATTCGGCCTAGGCAAACGCGCTTCGTACAACGACCAGCGCTTCGCATTCGGCCTCGGCAAACGGTCCTATCTGTCGACTGAAGACGACATCGACGACTCAGTCCCTGTCGACGACACTCTCGTCATCCCCGCTGCACAAGACAGCACCGCGGCCATCGACACCGACACCTTCGCTGCTCATCATCATCATCATCCAGCAAACCAACTCGTCGGTGCTGGTTTCAACGGTTTCGGGCATCCGAACAGCGGCAAGATTTCCGCCTTCCGATTCGGACTCGGGAAACGCAGTGTCGACAGTGAAGAAGCTGCTGCTGCTGCTGATGACGAAGACGACGGTTTTGCTGCTCGTGTCGTAGAAATTGTGACTAATGCGCCATTAGTTGCTGAAACGGAGTCTGCAGTTCATCTGGAGTAAACGCGAAATGGTTTTTTTGTGTGTTTTGTTTTGTCCTCCACGGAAAGACAAAAAAGAAAGTTCAAGTCTCGTCGTCGGTTGTTTCCAATTACCTGCTGAGAAACCCCAACTTCAAGTTACCAATGGCGGTTGCACATTCTGCATTTGCGAGTGAGGTATCCGGAAAGTGTGAATAAAAGAAAACCTTCTTTTCACTCCCAGAGTTTATTTTACAATATTTGTTCAATGGAATATCATCAGCATTCAATTTATCTCTCAGTATGATGACGAGCTAGCTTGTCCTTGTATTAGTGGGATCACTGTCCTTGAGATTTTATGCAGTGGGTGCAAAAATAATCGCTAACGGGACAAAAATACTCTATTTGAATAATGGATTGCTGTTGAAAAAGGAAGACTTTTTATTTGGATAAAAATTTAAAGCTTAATCATTGAGAAAGAAATACGGTAATATGATTTCATGGTAGATGTAATCATCAGTATATCAGCCGAACTTCGATGGCCCTTGATTCTGAAGTGATATTTTCTCAGCTGAAATTGACTTAAAAGTTTAAATTATATATGCGAAGGAGTCACTGTCAAGTGCTCAAATCGAACATGAATCGAAAACAGAATCTGAACTCGCTCGCGAATGCAGTGTGTGAATCGCGTAACTCGTGATCTCAGTTGTTGCTGAATGCAACAAAAGAATATGAGCGAAAAGAGAAAAAAAATCAAGAAAAAACAAAGAAAACCCGATCAAGCTAAAGGATTTAGTTTTTTTGTTTGTTGATGAACTTCGCCGTATTTGCTTCGCTGTTTCAATGTCTCCAAGTCATGATGAGTTGTGCGAAAAATGAAGACCGTTTTCTCTTGGGGGATTTCTTCTTCTGAAGAGAAAGGAAAAAATGATTCGGGGATGAAATTTCCGCCTGTTGCTGGAGAAAAATATTCAAGAAGCGCGTACGGGGGAATGGAAATAAAAAAACAAAGCTTTCCTGCAAAAAGTTTACCTAAATCTCAAGCTTTTACTTTTGCTTTGAGAACAAAAATTTCGCAGGAATGACCACAAGACGATGAACTGATCTTGAACCCTTGCATGACAGAGGATTGCCTGGTAAAAATTAATTATCGCTATCTTGAAATTTTTATCTGATAAACTGCTGTGCTAAAACAGGTCCATTCACTGTTGTTCCTTCGCCCTATACATATTTAGGATGGCAAGATGCATCTTGCAGTTATTATAGAGCTGGGAAACGTCTCGAGCGACGTTCGCCACATTTTGATCACGGAAAATGAGGACGGCCAGGAGCTTCTTTTATCATAAATCCCGGCCAATTTCCAAGCATTCCACGAGCGAATTATCTCGAGAATTATTCCATCCTCGCACAGCAAGCTTGTGCACACAAAGGAATGCTCAGCCAACATGCTTCACTGCCAGCTGACGTGATCGGGGCCTTGTCTATGATTTATTGTCTCGAAAGAAGACGAAGAAAAGGTCACGAAAGGTTTTTGCAGCAAGCACGCTCAATTAAGATGAACGATAGCGGTTTTGCCCTGGCGGTTGGTGTGCTGACGTGATTTCCTTACTTTCAGCGATAACAAGAAAATAAGCCAAAATCCGTAAGCTTTAACTGATGTTTAGTCAACATCTGTGCACCCCAGATAAACAGCCTCGTAGGTTCGTGAAACTCGGGATTAAATGGGTATCCGCACCCTTCACCTTTCATCCTTGATGGTCGCTTATTTCCCGCGTTTCTCTGCTGTGGAACTCTTCATGTCTCGGAAAGCAGGGTAACGCGTCTAATTTGTCAAATGGTTGTCTGAAACTTTCAGGCCTTCGTGTTCAGGGAAACAATTCCAGCTGATGACAGGCACGCCACAGCTGCTATAGTTACGTGGTAATGATCTTTCCGAGCTTTTCTATTTAAGGAACCCAAATTACAGATTTGCGGGCATGTAGGTTTTTTATTTTTAGATTTTCATAGTAAACACCACAGAGCTCCAAGTCTTCAAGAATAGCAGCCAAAAACCTCCGAGAATGTTTTGTGATGCCTTCAAGGGCTGGCTGAATCCATTTAAATTGAAGGGGTACTTAATTGAGCACCACAGGCACATTTTTTCCGAAATTGGGAAGGAAAAAAGGGGGCTGAGTGACATATACCGGATGGGTATAACCTTTTTTTTTTATAATTCCAAGTTTTGGTATAACCCATATTTGATTCTAATGCAGAAGTGTTAGCCAATATGTACGCTACAGACGATTTAAAAATGTACCTGATGAAAAAGCAGCATTCAATTTTGAAACACTTCGTCAAAATTTAATTTCTGATGCATTTCATTTTCAAAACATGTCAATTTTCAGTCTCTTAAAATGGGGTGTGCGTTGTATTCAAGGATACATTTTTATCCAAATTTTAGGTTGAAAAATGCATGCACATGCCTTATTTGAAAGCGCGATATCTTAATTGATTAACTTTTTTGTTTTTAGCTTGGGTGCCTATTTTATTATAAACAGAAAAATTAGAGCTCAAAAATTAATCTTCCGCTGCAATGAGGTAGCCTGTCACCAGTTTCGTACAGAAGCCAATTTCATATGTGAGTCATTTTTGCTTCAATAGCTGGTCATTATGTAACAATGCAGGGGAAACTTGGAAGACAAAGAACCTTGGAAGTAGCACGGAAAGTATTATCGAACACTTTTTGTATGCAGAATGACGAGATTTTTCATTTGATGAGTGTTTGAGAGCTGACTGCAGAAAATGATTCAGCTGCATCAGAAAACAGGAAATGAAACCAACAATGGAATTCGAACTGCAGGTGGAAAAAGCAGATTCTTTCAGAGAAAAATTTTAATGAATTTTTTTGTGACTAATTAAAAAAGATAAAGTTGCCTGAATATCGCGAGTTTTTCTAAATAGAGCAGTCACGCTTGAACATTTTTTTTTTATTTTCTCAGTCAGCAATCGAACTTATCTCTATCAATACACAAAAAACTGAACCCTTTTGAGCTATGGAAAATTCCAAGATACAGTATATTCTCTTTTCTTTTTTGTTGTTGTGAATAGCATGCAATTTTGTGCACATGAGATCAGCATGGCTGGTATCATGCATTCCATAGAGCATAGATATTATTATTTAGTTTATCACAGTGTTCCCCAACCTTTTTGGGCCTACAGACCAGCAAATTTCCAGAAAAGTTTTTTTTGGACCAGCAGAAAATTTCCCAATAATTTTCTGAGGACCAGCAAAGTCTCATAAAATGTTTGCAGACTCAAAAGTTTTGCTTGAAACTTGAAAGACTTTATGGCAGGCATTTAAAAAGGTCATGTTTCTTGCAAAAAGTATGAGCCAATGAAAAACAGGAATATAGTGGAATGTTTTCAAAAAATGAGAAAGGTGGGATTGAAAGAAGGTTTCTCAATGAAAAAATATAATTAACTCATTTCAGCGTGATTATTTGTCTTAAAGGTGTTATTAGGAGGAAACCCAACTTTTATTTTTTCATCAAATAATTTCCACGGCCATTATTGTCCATATCTGGAATTTCAGAAAAAATAATAACAGATTTCATTGCTACTTTTATTAATGGTTTATCCAGCAGAAAATCTCCTGATCCAGACCAACAAAGAACTTCTGCGGACTGGTGCCAGTCTGTGGATCATGGGTTCGGGAGCAATGGTTTATCATAGGTTTGGGAACATCCGCCCACGCGTCACAACACAGAGTTTCTGTCGCTGTTATTCGAGCGAAAAGAAAATCGTGTAAATCCTCCGCACACAGTTAGTATATAATACTCCGAAAGGCGCTGCTGTGTTCAGCAATATCCAAGTTTGTGCTCATTACTCCGTGTGGTGCGAAAGCCAGCGTCTTTCTGTCTTAATTAAGCCTCATCTCCGCCATTTGCCGGGGGCGGGGGAATGTTCCGGGTTTATATACCTGTGTCACTTACAAGAAGTGATTCAGAGCGTGAACTACTCGCACCTAATTCACCACGTAATTGCGGGATGGGCTCTTATGTTTATGGAAAGCGTAGTTCCTATATGGGGTATATATTCAGAGAAACCAAATGAGATGAAGTTCTACACTCTCTTGTGAAAATGAATCTTTTAAAAAGTTCCTGGTCAAAATTCTGTAACATGTATCAGCTTGATTCCCTTTTTGCAATAAAATGAGGTGCGACATTCAATCACTGTCGAAAATTCAGTGAGATTTCATTGTAATAAACTTTCAGAGACCTGATGTAAAATATATACTGTAATTCAACAAAAGTTTGTTATAATTAAGTTTGCTGTTTATATAACATTTGTGGCTCAAATTTTGAAGGAAATGGGCAACATAATGTGGTATAAACTGCTTCCACAATGGATGCATTAAAAAGTCCAATAATTTCCAACGTCTTTCGATTAAATAATCGGGAATAATTTCCAAACGCATTTTATTTTTAAGCTGTCCCGGTTTCAAATTTCTTAAAGCTGCTGAGTTTACCGAAATGTGAGTTGAAACAAAAACACATGTTTACGAATTTTAAAACAATTTGTTCCTGAAATAGAGTAATAGTCTTCCAGGTACATTTTTTGAAAGAAGGAAGCAATTTCCAAATTCTACAGGAAAGATATGCACATTTTAGAACATCATTATGCATACGTTCTGCAATTACCATATAAAGTTTTTTGCGAAAATAAATTCCTATTGCTTTCTGAATTTCCAATGCTGCACACTTTTTTTTGTGCGATTACAAATCTCTTTGGTCATGTTCATATTTATTAGCTAGGTTCAAAGAATAACCCTCTAACTTCTTGTGAAGATGAGTTTGTTAAAATGAGATTTTTTTTAGCACGGCTTTTATACAGAGTAATTTCTGTTGCCCTGAAAACATTGTAATGAAGAACGTATCATTAGAAGACTGGTTACATTAGAATTTCATTGTATCTGACACAATCGTAATCGCCCCATTGGGTTCAACACCTGGAACTTCCTCTTTGGAATCTGGATTGTCTGGAAAATATTGCTGGAAAGTTTCACTTGAGTATATTCGTATGCTGTATATCTCTGGATTTCTTCGGATCATGCGTTTTGAAAACGAATCATTCAGTCTGAATCACCGGAGCATGGGAAATAATTACGAATTGTCCCCCAAAATAATTGGACCATCAAGATACGTCACTTTCTATCGTAATTTCTGCTGAGGGTAAATAGAAAGGAAGAGAATTAGGACGTTCAGAAAAAAAAGCAGCAGTTATTTCTGGAAATACCTTGATGTTGACCTTTATTTGATCGCAGTTCCTGATGCATGGTTGATTGATATAGAGGTGGAGGAAACGTGATCCGTGGGATTTTTCGTTCCTTTGAACCTGAGCTGCATGATGTGGTTTTTTATGTCTATGCAAACTTGTTTTCACCATGAGTGTGTTGATGGCTTGAAAGTTATTATGAAGATTTTTCCACGTATGCGTAAGGTAATTCACTGTATAAATAATTGAAGCGTTACCCCAGTTATTATTAGCTGAATTGTCGATTATGCCCCTGCTGGTCGTAATTGCGATGGAACTCAACAAAGTCGATTAGTCATTAAATTCTCGAGGAACCTGAAATCTTTTCGAATATTAATTCAATTTTCCACACATTGTCAAACAAGCAGTGGTTTATTTCAAACCGTGAAAAATCATTTCGAAGCTCAG